CGGCGGCGGAAGTCGCATAGCGAGGCTCGCGTGTCGTTTGCAAATTGCGCCTTGCTCTGGGAGGAACGTCTTCTTCGACGTGCCTTTTGTTTCGCCCTTCGGGAACCCGAATGAGTCAGAGAAACGGAAGAAGAAACGAATAACAAAGCGTATGCGCTCACGCGGCGCTTACGCACGCGGCGGAGAGGAAAAGACACCGCGGGAGAAAGGAAAATTGAATAAGAGCCTGAACCACGAGTAGCTTGTTAGTATTTTTTTACGTATCCGCCGTCGACATCAGATTTACATGTTTGAATTGTCTGATGTAGTAGAAAGAGAGAGAGGGAAAGAAGTTAAAAGTCAAGTACCTTTAACTTCTGAAAAAGCTAACAAAGAGTCGAATTTGCTCAAGAGTAATAACACATCACGCAAAATGTCACGACGTGCAGCCTCCTGCCTTCGCTCTTAGATCTTAGATATCTCTTTTAGATGACGATACTGGGACCAATTTTATCTTTAATGACAGAATAATACGATTTCTAATAATACGATTTCTATTTCTTCTTACATCTCGATATATCTCGTATATACTATAAAATATATAGTTTTCCTCTCCATCCTGTCACGTGACCTTGCTTTAGTCACGTTTTTAAAAACACGCGACTAAAGTAAAGTCACGTGACTTCAGTCACGAGTTGTTTTTCCTTTCCTTCTTATTATTTTTCATTTTTTTTTTTTTTTAATTTAAGTTAAAAACAAAGTAACAATCGAGATGAATGTCCCGATGACCGGCGGACGAGTATCGCTGATCGAACATTTTTGATTTGGTTTATTAAAGAAAACATCTTGTTTCGATTTTTGTCAGTTCTGAATATAGGCGCGAGTGTAATTTGGCGAGTTCGCGATTCGAAAGTTGTAAAAGTCGACTTTTCAATATCGCGGAGGCAAAATTTTTGCACGTTTCGAAAAAGAAGATAAAAATTCTTGTAGGTTCGTTTGTCCAAACAGTATCGAGAGAGTTCGAAATAAATCGCACGGAAACACGCGCGCGGATTGGCCGCGCCGGTCGTCGACCTCGCGGAATCCGGGATTTTCTCTCTCTCTCTCTCTCTCTTTTTCTCTTTCGAGAGGAGCATCCACCTCGATATTTCTCCTACGTTTATTTCAACGATCGCCGGGCCCAACGGTTCTGGAGGAGCGCCCATTAACTTTTCGCGTGCCGTTAATTGCTTCCCGCCGTAATCGAGCGTCGTTCACAGTGACGAGGGAGGACACTTCAATAGCGTTAAGCAAACGCTCGTCAAACGTGACTCTTTTCGATCGCCTACCACAGAATTGGGACTTCCTTCATTATGTCCTTACCTAACTCTCCGCGCTCAATATGGTCGCGAAAAAAAACTGGCAAATGAGAGAAAGGTAAAAACCAATACGTGTGAGTAATGCACTTTTCTTGGAATTCAATCAGCTACTTTTACATATCGTCAACTTTGAGACGCACAATTCATAATTGCACATTTTTGAAAGTGATGAAAGTTAAAAATACTGTGAAAAATATTTAAAAGATATTTTACGCAATATTGAAAACATTGAGAATTGTTTATGTTTAATATATATTCACATATCTAGTTAATAATTATTTCCTCGATAAATATCCGGTCGTTGGGACATTTGCTTCGTACGAACATGACGGAAAAAAAAAAACATATATACGTTTCTCTCTCCTTTTCGCGAAAGCAATCATCGAAGGCAATGTCGCGATACTTCCTCTCTCGTAGATAATAATCCGAAGAAATGCGATGCACAGTATCACGCCAGGTTGTGGAAGAAGAAGATTCTACTTCGCGGTAAGAGCAGGAAGAGATCGTCGACGCGCACGCTCGCAGACGTGACCGCCCGCAACGACGAGTCAAGTTCACAACTCTCTCATCATTGTCTCCCCTTCTGGGCTGATAATGATAATCCGCCAATGATTATTGTCATTACGAGACCTCGGCGCTCGGGCATGCGAGCTTCCCAATTTACTCGCGGTAGTGAGAGACGCCGCCGAGCCCGCGCTTCTCTTATGCGCCGACGTGTGTTGCGCTTCGGGGGAATTCTAATGAATTTTCTGGAACGATAATCCCCGCGGCCTCATTACACGAGATGAATGCGCACACGAGTACCGTTTTAATCGCCCCGCGCCGCTAATGGCAGATCGCGGATCGATTATAAATTCTCTTTCTCTCTCGCCGCACTAACGAGATAATATTTTCTAAGAGTGTGAAATATTAATAATAATAATAATAAAAAAAAAAAAAAAAATAAGAACGAGAGAGAGAGAGAGTGAGCGAGTGAGAGATAAGCACGCATTGTGTACACTGCGATCGCGGTAACGATATATACACGCACCATTGTCGTCATTAATGACGGCTATTCATTTCGCATCGCATTCAATTTTCAACGTGCGGGTTTTAAAGATGCGCGCGCGCGGATCTGACTGTGCAATTTCGCTCAGCGCATTTTTGCCGCGCGAAAACGTAATAATAAATTTTAATTAAAGTTCTCGTCTCACACACATCGGGCGTATCGCGCCGATGAACGAGAAATTGTAACGCCAGCGTACGACGCGAGAAAGCGACAGACACTTGCCGTTTCGGTGTGCGAACGCGCGCATCTTCTCTTTATTGCTAATTAGACGCAGTCCAGCGAGCGCGTTTCCATTCAATGTCGTGGAATTTCAGCGAAATCGATTTTTTTTTTTTTTTTTTTTTTTTTTTTCTACGTGAAATCGATCTCTCGCACTTTCGATTGTTCGCAAAGTATTATTAGATCATTCGCGAGAGATAGAGTCGATACACGCAACAGTTTGCATTTCATGTTCGAACGCGATTTCGCACACAATCGGTCGTCGTATCGTTCGACGATCTCGCAATCATCGCGCGCAATAACAACGTTCCTCCTCGTTTTATAAATCTCCGCAAATAGCTGTTGCCCGCGCGTACTCGTCTCGTCGAAATTATGAATAACAACGCGATTTACGCAGCTCTGAATCCGAGTATCTTCCGACTTGTTTCTAATGGACCGTGAACGCCCGGAATCGGCGCAAGAACGCCCGTAACCATCATCTGGGATGTACCGCGGACGCACGGCCGCGGTTATTTACGACGTTCCGTACCGGAAAACAATTTTGTTCGGACGGGACGTTCCGTAAAAAATGAACGTAGAGGAACACCGTGGGCAAACTGTGTAATTACACGGGACCGTTTCGCGCGGTATCTCTTTCCTGATGTTCCTTCTAGATTTGCAATTACCATGAAGAGCCGAACGAGTGAGCAAACGCCGATTCGCAACAGGTGGAACTTGGGTTATTAAACTTCTTTCCCCCTCTCCCTCCTCCGAGAGTTATTAACTATGCGATTCGCGTCCGGGCATTAATAATATAACGATCAATTACCGGTACAATGTCCGCGCAAGCTACACTCCGATATGGGAATCCGCCAATTTCAATGGGTGTGCGTATATATCGTGATTCTCGTACGTCGTCGTAGTCGTTGCTCATTCAAGTGTATCTACGCGGAATACGACGAAGGTATATCGAATAATTGATCGCGTCGAGAACGATCCGTTATGTACGCTGTTCACATCTGAAGAATTGTGTATATCGAAGCCACGTTTCCGATCTAATGTTTGCGATAAGTCAAGCGTAATTTCATTGAATACGACGATCCCGGATATAGATCGGTAATTTAGATCTACGTTGCGTAATTTCGATTAATTTGAATAAGTCTCTCTGCCGCGCTGATACGTTAAAAAAATTTCTATTGTATATTTTATATATTATTTATATTTGCATTAATACAAAATAAATTTTATATACTAGTACAACACAGGCGCGCGCTACGCGCACGCTATTGTTATTTTTATTTAACGTGTTGTCAGTGAACACAACCTGTCACCGCGATGACAGATAGTATATACGTCTTATAAACCATATAATACACCTACGAGAAATGTCAAAAATAACACATGAAAATCAGACTCAAAAAATAGTGAGAGAGAGAAGTGGAAAAACAACACATGACAGGGAGAAGGGTAAAAAAGAAAATATTACACATGTACATATATTATATATCATATACATATATTATAGATAAAATATATTATATATATATAATACACACACATACGCATATATGTATATATTTATACATATATATGTATATATATATATATATACCGCAATCACGTGACCGAAGTCAGTAACACCGCCGTGGTCGCGCGGCCGAGGTCAGTGACTCTCCCCCACCAAGGCCGCCCGGCTGAGGTCAGTGCCCCGCCAAGGCCGCGCGGCCGAGGTCAATAACCCCGCCAAGGCCGCGCGGCCGAGGTCAGTGACCCTCCCCCACCAAGGCCGCCCAGCCGAGGTCAGTGCCCCGCCAAGGCCGCGCGGTCGAGGTCAGTGACCCCGCCAAGGCCGCGCGGCCGAGGTCAATAACCCCGCCAAGACCACGCGGCCAAGGTCAGTGACATTACTGTAGTATGTATATAATACATATAATACAATATAAAGTATAATATTATAAATATATAATAAATTATATGTATAATATGTATTATTTAATGTTATATATAATATAAATTACAGTCACGTTATTTTCACGTGTTGTTTTTTTACTCTTTCCTGTCTCACGTGACTTTAGTTACGTTTTTAATTTTCTCTACATATACGACGAACTGTCTCAAAATCGTTTTTCATTATTTACTCTCTCGATCTTACCGATTCGATTCGGCTCGTTCAACCAACCAACCAATCGGCAACGCGGAAAAGAGGCAACAATAGATGCGATACATTCGGCTCCAAAACGCGCACTTCTCGGTCCAAATGCCCTCTTTTATATAGGATATATTATCGCGATAGAAATTTAAATTAAATGAAATGTTAATTTAGATATATTCGCGCGGACATTCGAAAACTCACATGTAAAATGTGCGTTTGCACAGTCGATTTTCACATGTGTGTTTTTTTGTTTTTTATGTTGCAGCGACCGCAACGATAGCGAGCACCGTGCAGATCGAGTGTGCGAGCGAGTCGATAATCGTTCACATCTCGACGGAGGGCAACACGGACTTCCACGGTCTGGTCTATCCGCGCGGACTGTCAAAGAACAGCTCCTGTTTGCAGGAATACAGAAGCCAGCCCGCTCCGATCACGTACAATCTGCCTTTGCGATCCTGCAACACTATGCCCACCGAACTGGTGAGAATCTTCCGTTACTACGTAATTATATTCTATGAGTGTGTGAGTGTGTGTGTGTGTGTTGCAAGAAAACACGACCGCATCGCAGCAAATTGCGCGCGTTCGATTTTACACTCATCCGGTACCTTCCTCTGTCGCGAGCAAACGTTTTCTCGCTTCTTCCTGTTTGCAAATTTACCGACGATGTTTGAAATTCTCGCGGAATTACATCGCGCAGAGGTGAAGAAGAGCGGAGGGGAGAAAAGGATTTAAGCGCTATTATTAAACGGTTGCGTCATTCGCTCGCACCTTCGACGATTCGTTTTAATTCGATTTATCGCCTCTTCACCTGTTCGGCTCCGCGCAATTTTCCTCGCTGAGATATTACCTCGCGGTAATTACGTTTTCCGCGGATCGAAATTATCCGAAAGGCACAATTCAATCGCAGAAGTGGACGCCAATATTCGTGCTCCACTCCCGCGATCTCGTGGCGCAAGCGTTTCGCCTCCATTTATACCTCCACTTACTCCGTTACACCTGATTCGGGGGAGGAGGGAGGAGGGAAGAGGGGAAGGGAGCGGAAAAGTAATTACGGGTCTGCGCGAGTCTCTAAATCGCGAAAAATAGTATTATTATTTTCGGATGAGATGACTACACACTGTAGTCAATCGCGCACAATTGCACGTTATTTAACATCAATCTCTTTTAATAGATCGCGATTTTGAAATTGGTCTCGGCACAGCAAACGAAAGAGATAAAATGCGAAACGTTCGAGGATATGTTCCGAGGAAAGGAAATCCTGTGCGCGCGGGATGTGTTGTTGTACGGCAAAAGCGCGCGATATTATCGCAACAGTCACGCTAATAAGAGCCATTATCGTGTTTAATGTTATTGTAATTATCGTCATTATATCATTACGTTGTTGTTGCGTTATGATCGCGAGTTTATAACACACAAATCAGCAACAACGTTTCGCGGTCGGAATATCTCAACACGCATCGCATGATTGTTCGTACATGCCTCGTCGATGATAAAGGAGGAGGAAATATTGAATACATACAACGCGCGGTGGCGGCGGTGGTCGGAAATAATAATACGATGGTGGCGGATGATCGTGTAACGAGAGAATCGTGTGCAGAGAGAGAGAGAGAGAGAGAGAGAGAGAGAGAGACGAGATATCGCTTCCTCGCCGTACCATAACTGGACCGTTATGTGACCGGACTCGCCTCTCCGCATGCGCCGCGAGAGAAGACGCTCCGCGCTTCCTGGACAATAGGTTTTACCCCTCCTCGGATAACACATAAGACCCGTCGCAAAAGTCGACAGGTTTACGACCGATCCTTAATTTTCTCTTTAATTAATTTCTCTTTAATTTTCTCCCGAGCGGTGTTGTTTTTTTTTTTTCAGACGAGAGCAAATATTTTTTCTCTCGGACACGCCGAGAGATAAAAAACGAGAAGAGTAGCGAATAAACGCGGATAATCGAACAATCGAACGAAACTGTCACAAAAGTGAGAATGTGTCTATTGGCGAAAGTACATACGTTTGCCACTTTTGTTAAATTTCACGCGTCGCTGATTTTAACGTCCGAGAAAAAGCGAGACAACTCGTCTGACAACATCGATACAACCGAGTTATCATCTGTCCTGCAATCTCTCGCTCTCTCAATCTTGTACGTGTGAGATTATTCAAGTTTTTGTATTAGCGCTTAGCCTCGCGGTGATGCGGTGCGGCATTCGCGCGTCTGTCGTCGATGCGAAAGACGCGCGTTAGAACTCTAATTGTTCGCTTGTCTCACTCGGGAGAAGCGCTCGCATAAATTTTTTGATGTCGAACACTGGATTGGAACACACCGCCGCGCCCACAACGATACGAGAGCCAATAATCACCGGGTGCGCGCGCGACTGTTAATCACATTCGGCGTGTGATTAACGCAATCTCTTCTCTACCATCGGGAAGAAAGGAGAGAGAGAGAGAGAGAGAGAGAGAGAGAGAGAGAGAGAGAGAGAGAGAGAGAGAAAGAGAGACGAGACGCGCACGTAGCTCGCAGCTACTGTCTCTCATTCCTTCCCTGCGATGTCGGACGGCGAAATATGTCCGTCCGAGCCGCTGACTTCTTAACGGATCGCTCGCCCCCTCGATCGGTCCCCGATAATAACGTTCGGAAAGTACCCGAGGCGATGCGAAAAACGTTCTCTCCGCGCGCCGCATTCACGCGACTGATGTGGAAGCCGTTTCGCAAGCGACCGTGATAATCACGGTTAACACAGTTGAAATTCCGTGAACTCGATCAAGAATATAAGAAAAAAAAAAATGAAATAAATAAATAAAACAAAAACGGGAAGATAGGTAACGAAGATAAAGTTTCATCAAACGTTCGACGTTAATTTTTATTATATCCCGCGCGGCGGCGGGGTTACAAAGTGACGCTTGAATCAAAAGCGAGCGCGGTTTCGCGCGATACGTCCGTATCGTATATTTTCTTCAACGGTGGAAGCAGCATCGTAGTTATGACGAATGACGAGCCGTCCGAGCGGTAAATTGTGCCATTAACGTTTAACGCATCGCGATTAAGAATCGCATTCGCCGACTATTATTCGTTTCGGAGAGAGAAACGTACCTGAAACGACGCGGCGCTCATCTATCCACAAGCAGCAGTTTGATTTACCAACCGCCGCGTCACCTGCGCGCACGCCTTCGGAAGGAAAGGGCCGCCGCGAGGCGCGAGAAGGAAGAGACCAACGAGTCTAACTCTCTTCTCTCGCGGTGTTTAATAGCACCGGCCACCTACCGCCGACATGAGGAGCCGCATAATTTAAGGGCTGGCACGCCGAAGGGAACAATAATTCGCGCCGGTACGACGCTCGCTCGTTCGTTCGTTCGCTCGCTCGCTCGCTCGCTCGCTCGTAAGACGAGGTCAGATAAGGTGAGGGGGAGTCTTTGACCTCCGTATGTTGTATCCACGGTTTCCCCCCGCTGATCTCTCGGCGTGGGCGTCGCGAATGCGCACCGTCGTGGGCAGTCGCGACGTCGTCGGGAGAACACGCGCGTCGGTGGGATTTTAAGTCACGCGCGCGCGCGCGTGTTAAATCGCGCCGTCAAACACACAACCCGCATAAATTCGCTCGCCCGCTTCTGATCCTTCCTTTTTCGGTCCCCCGAGCTATTTTTGGAACAAGTGGCTGCAACAGCGTGAGATACGAACACGCGGAGGAAAACGTGTGTATCATTGGCGCGACCAAAAACACATACTTATATGTTTGACTTTTGCTTTGCGAGTTAATAACAGCGGTAAGATGAGCCCGAATGAAATGGTAGAAGCCGCGGCCGTCCTAATACGGCGAAGGCGTATCGGGCGCGATCCTTACGTAATATCGCGCGCCTTCAAGTGCGCGTTCTAGCGCGCGCACGTGATTCCGGTGTCTTCTTACGCAACGAGAGTAAACTTCGCAGTCGAATCGAATCGCGGCGATCTGCGATTTTCCGAGCACTCCTCCGCGAGCACAATCCGATTATCGCGTTTGATCTTCGCTCGGAGGAGTCTCGATGGCGCAAGATTTCTCGCAACAACTTTGCGTTTTTTTTTTTTGTTTTTTTTTTTTTTTCACGCGTTTTTCTCAATTCTCGCGGTTGTGCAAATTTGGTTTTTCTTTCTTTTTTTTTTTTTTTTCCACATAAATAACTTCGTGTTGGAGGTCGGTCGTAAAATTACGAGAATTGAGATGTAAAATCGCCGTCGTCCTACGAATTTTACGGTCTCTCGCAAGAGAGCCTTTCGATTTTTCCCATTTGCAAGTTTACTAGCCACGTCGGAGGCCTCTTAAGCGTCGAGAACGTCGAGTGGGTCGCTATCTTGAAGGCAGTGACGTGAGCTTTGCCCACGCCACGGTACCGCAAAAGTAAAAGTCCATGGCCGGTTTCATCTGTATCCTGTAAGAGATTGTGTGTGTGTGTGCGTGTTTCAACTTACACAACTTACACGAGGTTTCGTTGCTTTCTCGAAGTTCCGTGGACACACAAGTGTATCATTAAAATGCAAAAAGATTAAGAAAAATAAATTTAAATGACGGTGCGTCCTTGTTTCGGTTATAATCGCGGAAATACACGGCGCGATATATTTATTTTTGAGATCACGTATTGAAACCATAAATTATAAGAAAAAAAAAAGAGAGAGACAGTCTTTCTATTTACATATTTGTTATTACAAGGTGGGACAATTTGAATTGCTTTCTAAAAGAAGGATCCTATCGACTTTCGCTTCGAAGGAGACTCGTTTGTCTGAAACGGAATACGCGAGATTTATTATAAGCGTCAGCCGAAATCGACAAACTTTCTCTCGATCTTCCGAAAAAAAAAAAAAAGGTGGACCAGTGTAGTTAAACCTGTTGCGCGTCACGTAACAGCGATGTTTTTCGAACCTCTTTTCGTTTCACTTTTTTCTCCTCGAAAGGAAACATTCGTCATTTTCAATTAGTCCTTGAATCCAAATTTTATTTAATAAATTTTTTTACTCTCTCTCTCTTCTTTCTCTATCATTTTTTTTAAAATAATTTTATACCACATCTGTGTTGATCTTCGTGATATATAAAACATCCCTATATATAAAATCCACTCGGCAACTCTCTTCTCCACAAGGATACGAAGGATACGAGCCGAAGAATTCGCCAGAAGTAGTCAGACCAGTTCGAAAATACATACTGCTCGTATGCGGCACCGCTGATCCGCAGCGCTTGCCTTTGTTTTAATAACACGCGTATATATAACACAAGAGAAACGGAACAAAATGACCGCCTTTACAAACCATATAATATACACATGAGAGGTGTCGCAGAAATAACGCATGAAAATCAAACTCGAAATATAGAAGAAGGAGTGAAAAAACAACACGTGACTTTACTTTAGTCACGTTTTTAAAGGCGCAACTTCGTTGCGCGTGAACTTAACGCGACGCACTACCCTGTGCCTCTTTATTCGCTTCCATCTTTACGTTTAATTTTTATGATGCAAAGTTTCAAAAACAT